GGGGGGGGGGGGGGGGGGGGGCACAGGAAGACTGCTACTGCTGCTGGAGGCTGTTGCTACAAGCCCCTGCAAGGCCACCGCCACTGCTGCTGCTGCTGAGGAAGCTGAGGACTGAGCTCTCATTGGAATGAGCCTGTCAACTCTGCCAATGGTTCCCAGGATCTTTCCCAATTATCTAGTTCGTGACCTGTATATGAGGTGTCTGTGACCCAGCAGGCATATGAGGGGTCTGGTGACCCAGTCTGACACATGACAAGTCTGTGACCCAGACTGTACACCGGGTTTGAAGGGTGTGAGCCCTAGCCCAACAGGACTCAACAATTAAATCAACTCTTTTCAAGGCATACTTTTTGAACTAGAAACAAATGTTTTAATACAAAATTTTAAAAATCTGAAAACAGCATTTGACAGTGCATTTTTTGCAGCGTTGAAAAAACTGCCTTTATCTTTGAGTCTGCAAAGATAATAAGTAGTTATATGTCTTCTACAATCTGTCAAACTGAGATTTTTTAAAAATGCTAGTTACTGGTTAAAAGGTCAAAGTTTAGAATCCCAGTGTAATTTGAGATGATTCCTTTCCAACACATTAAAAAAAAAATCTAGACACTGGAGGGTGTAAACAGGAAAGAGGCTCTCCTTCCTGTGAGTTACAGGGGCTCAGTCCCCTCCTTTCCATAAATCCAGAAAATTCTTCCTGACAATTCCATCTACTTCAGGGAGCAGCATCTCTAAACCCTAATCAGGGCAGAAGTATTTAAAGAGATAAATGACACTGCATTACTGATTACAATCGTGCATCAGAGGTCACGGGGTTCTGTAGTTAAGCAACAATTATAACAAAAAACCAAATTCCTGAGTTTTACTGTCAGCAGGAAGAATTTGCCTTCATGCATGATGTCTTGATGTGATCAAAGCCACCAGTAACTACACCAGGTAAATGGAAATGGGCTGGAAATCCCACATGTCCGGATTTGGCAGGAGTCTGGGCGTGGTATCATTAAATGATGTCTTGCTTAAATCAACAAATGCTTATTGCTCCCTTTGAAGATAAGAAGTACCAAAATTTTCTCCATGCTTCAGCTAAGGTGAACCTGATTCCAGATACAGATAAAATGCACATTCA